ACCAGTTCGCATAGGGAGTCGTTCCTCTCAGTGACATTTTTTTTTAATGCGTATCTGTTAATCCCAAACTCCTAATCTATCCCTCCCCGTTCCTCTCCCCTCTGGTAACCAGAGTTTGTTTTCTCTGTCTGTGTCAGTGACCTTTTTTTTAAACTGAACTACAGTTGATCTACAATATTGTGTTAATTTCAGTTGTACAGCAACGTGATTCAGTTTATGTATTTATATGTATGTATATAAATACTCTTTTTCAGATTCTTTTCCATTATACTTTACCACAAGATATGGAATACAGTTCCCTGTGCCACACAGTAGGTCCTTGTTGTTTATCTATTTTATATATATTCATGTGTTACCTGTTAATTCCAAACTCCTAACTTATCCCTCCCTGCTCCTTTCGCCTTTATAACCGTAAGTTTGTCTTCTATGTCAGTGACTATTTTTAAAATTGCTTTCCGGACTGCTGTGGCCCCACAAGTTGGCTTGAGCTCTGGAGATTATTTCACATGTAGACTTGGACTTTATTTATTTGGATTAAACTAATAGATTTTTCAAGTCTGTATGGAGCATTCATTCTGAATTTGATTCCTCTTTCTTCTTCCAGCTCTAAAGTACATACTCCTGTCTTTGTAGCTTGAAAGTGTACCCGAGGCCTTGGGGGAACAAATGACATAAATGTTGCCACTGTCCTCAGAAAACGTGGGTGTTCATATTTAACATGAGTAGGTTAAGGAAGAATGTTAAAGGAGAAGGGACATTTTTATTGGAAATCTCACAGCTCCCAGCCACGACCTTATCATCTTACAGTCGATGGTATATATCATGTTTTCCTCATCTTTTTCTATTATATATATATATATTTTTTTTATTGAAGTATAGTCAGTTTACAATGTTGTGTCAATTTCTGGTGTACAGCACAGTAGTTCAGTCATATAGGAACATACATGTATTCTCTGTCATCCTCGCCTTTTCTGACATAAGGAGAACAATTTAACAGAGCAGAGAAAGGCAGATAAAGAGTCAGATGTCCTTCTTGCTGTTTCACACCTCACAGCTCTGTCCATCCAACACTGTCTAGTAAAGACACACTTCACTTCTATACTCTATATACTCTACAATAATATTACTAATTCAATCCTCTCCCCATTAACTTAAATCTTTGCAAACAAGGGAAGAAATTTTTATTATAAGATATCTTACATATGCTATGTCTG